AGGCTCGGGTGTGGGAGGCTTAGGTGTGGGAGGCTCAGGTGTTGGAAGCTCGGGTGTGGGAGGCTAGGGTGTGGAAGGCTCGGGTGTGGAAGGCTGAGGCATATGAGGCTGAAATTCATTCGTCTCACAGAGTCTCTAACCTAGATGAACACCCAATGCGAGGGAATGATCAAAATGTGGATGGCCGGACAGGTAGGCTGCCTGGAGGCCGTTTGAGCTGACTCAGACATTAACATGAAACACAGAAAGGGAAGCATCAAAGGTGGTCTAGTTGGAGAGGCTGCTGGCCAGGGACTGGTTTGAGATGCCGAGGCTGCTGAGAAGAGGGTGAAGGATTGGAGGAAGGTCAGCAACATGCAGGAGAAGCGCTATTTCGGGCAGATGCAAGAGCAGATGCAGTCTGAGAGGTCTCGCTGTGTTTTCTGGCTCTTCCTGTCCCGCTCTGCACCTCGGCTGCTGCACTCTCCTTCCCCCGCTTTCTCTCTTCCTCCCTCCCTCCTTCTCTCTCCTTGATGCTCTGTCCCTCCATCTCTCACTCTTGTTGGGGTTCCCTACCTCTTGCTGTCACCACTTTCCTCCTGACTCCCTCCCTGCCCCATTTCCCACCCTCCACAACATCCCTCAGCCTTTCCTCTTACGAGTCCCATCATCCCCTTCCCTCTTTCGAGTCCCATCATCCCCTTCCCTCTTTCGAGTCCCATCATCCCCTTCCCTCTTTCGAGTCCCATCATCCCCTTCCCTCTTTCGAGTCCCATCATCCCCTTCCCTCTTTCGAGTCCCATCATCCCCTTCCCTCTTTCGAGTCCCATCATCCCCTTCCCTCTTTCTAGTCCCATCACCCCCTTCCCTCTTCCCCTCCCATCACCCTCCTCCCTATTTCCCGTCCCATCATCCCCTTCCCTCTCTCCCATCTCATCACCCCTTTCCCTCTTCCCCCTCATCTCTCACTTCCTCTCCCTTTGTCCCTCCCCTCACAGCATACCCTCGATTCCACCCAGCCAGTAGCAGAGGCGGACATGCCTGTCTAATAAGGAAAATACAAGCAACCTGTAAAAACATATAATTTGTTATTTTATCAGGAATATCGTTCTTTTAATGATAAAGGATACGGTACTGGGATTTTCTTTGAAATGGTATGGATAGCGAGGTGTATCTGCTGTAAGGAATTTTCCTGAATTCCTTATCGGGGTTGACTGCTTTGCGTACAACCCGATTTTCAGAGTTCGCACGTTAGGCCGATTTCAACGCTGCCGAGGCTCCTCGCGTCGCCTTCGGCATTTCCATCGCCCAACCTGCACCCAACCTCGCTTGTCCGAGGTTTCCTCCTAGCTAGGCTAGCCCTACATTAGTCTGTGCATTCATTGTATTCGCAGTTGATTCAGTCACAGCCTCGTTATTCGTTTACCTGCGCACTCTCTTTTACAACTCATAACATCTGCCTTGATTATTATGGGTGCCCTTTATGCTCGCTTACTTGGTGAAGTATTTGCTTGTGTCGAGGATTATCGTAAATCCCCTTACCGCGGAATTATTTGTGCTTTGTTGACTTGACGCGTTCCTCCGTACTTCCAGCTCCCGCTTTCCCGCCAAAAGCCCCGCTGCACACGGCAAGCCCGAGGCCTCGTTCCTTGTGTTGCCGCGCTGCCCCTTTTTCAGCAGCATCCCACCCGTGCCAACCAAGGTACTTCAAGCTTGCTCAGCGTATACTACTCATTTCGAATTCGCGAGTCTTGAATCTGTAGGCGTAGTCTAGAAGAACCTCACAGGAGCTATTTTTTTATGTAGGCTTTGCGGGGTCTCTGTTGTTGTTGTTGTTGTCGGCGCGCTTCGCTGCTTCCAATAGTAAATTTGATCCAAAGTCGGAGCGGTAAATTTCGTTGTACTCCTCACACGGCGTAGTTAGTACGCGACACGACACGACTTGGTTGGTTGGCCGACACGGCTCGTTCTCCCGTTCCCGTCCTCGTCCTCCGACTTGCGCCACTCGTTTGAAGAAGTGTTTTGAGACGTCTCTTGACAGCTCCTCGTCCTCCGACTTGCGCCACTCGTTCGTTCCTTCTCTGACATTGGCCGGCACCCCTCGTTCTCCCGTTCGTCTCGTCCTCTGGCTTGCATCTGTACGCTCTCGGTGCACCCAGCTGTCGTTACCATCATAAGTTTTGAGTCGACTTAAAAATCAGTATCGTGGTCCCGCGTCACTTTCATTACTCGCACAGCATACAGGCTGTTTGTGCACATAGACCCGAACACGGACGCAAGTGCTCATTCTCAGAAATCTCGCGCATTTGCTCGTTCATACGCTTCCAGTCGCAGCCTTTAGGTGCCCGTTAATACCTTGTATCGCCACTGTTGCTAAGACACGTACACGCAGACAAGGTTCCCACACGCACACTACACGCACACCCACGCCTCGCGCACGCCACGCGCACCCCACACACACGCCACGCGCACGCCACACGCGCACCACACGCACTCGAGGACCCCACAAGCGCCGCCATGGCGAGCGGAAACAGCGGCTGGGAGCCCAACAGGTCTAACCAGCCTCCGCCGGCGCCACACGCGGCAGTGGGACCTTCGGGGTCAGCCCCGCGCGGACCCGCGCCTCTGCGCGGAGGCGCGATCGGCGGAGCTGCGCCGCCGGGCGCAAGCTCCCGCGCAGCGGCGCAGCAGTTCAGCCGGCAGTTCACGTCCATCATGGCGCAAGCCAGCACCCGCCACGCGCACGCGCAAGCGCAAGCGCACGCCGGCGCGCAGAGCCGCGTCTTCGGCGGAGGTGCCGCGGGCGCGTCGCGGGTCTTTGCGCCGGGCGCCGGATCGACGCGGCAGTTCCAGGCGGGAGGGGCTGGGGTAGGAAGCTTCGCGGCGGGAGTGGGGGGAAGCTTTGCGGGGGGTTCCTTCGCGGGCGCCAATCCCACCAGGATGTTCGCGGGGCGTACCAGAGTGCTTCCGCAGCCCGCGCCGGCAGCTGCGGCGGCGGCGGCGGTGGCTGCAGCGGCTCCGCCTGCTGGCGCGGCGCGGGGCCTGACTCCGCAGCAAATGGCGAAGATTGAGGACATATTTAGCGTGTTCGATACGGACAAGTCGGGTGAGTGGGGATCCTTAATACCCGTAGCTAGTCGCATCCAGCTTGCTTCTAGGACATGCTTTTGGGCTGCTCTGGAAGGTGGGACTGCTTCTTATGGATGGGTCGGGGAGCAGGGCTAAGGGGAAAGGGGGAAGCAGGGGGGGGGTTCAGTATTGGTGGGCAATGGATGACAGAGGTGCATAGAGTGGTATGGAGGGGTGTGGAGGGGTGTGGGAGGGCAGGTTACACAGGGCTAGTTCCAAGTCCCAGATAGTTCTTGTGCGTTGCCTGTCGGTGCCCTGCTATGCTGTGCCATAGTTGACGTTTGAGTCGACTCAAAAAGTCAACTCGTTGCCTGTCGGTGCCCTGCTATGCTGTGCCATAGTTGACGTTTGAGTCGACTCAAAAAGTCAACTCGTTGCCTGTCGGTGCCCTGCTATGCTGTGCCATAGTTGACGTTTGAGTCGACTCAAAAAGTCAACTCGTTGCCTGTCGGTGCCCTGCTATGCTGTGCCATAGTTGACGTTTGAGTCGACTCAAAAAGTCAACTCGTTGCCTGTCGGTGCCCTGCTATGCTGTGCCATAGTTGACTTTTGAGTCGACTCAAAAAGTCAACTCGTTGCCTGTCGGTGCCCTGCTATGCTGTGCCATAGTTGACGTTTGAGTCGACTCAAAAAGTCAACTCGTTGCCTGTCGGTGCCCTGCTATGCTGTGCCATAGTTGACTTTTGAGTCGACTCAAAAAGTCAACTCGTTGCCTGTCGGTGCCCTGCTATGCTGTGCCATAGTTGACTTTTGAGTCGACTCAAAAAGTCAACTCGTTGCCTGTCGGTGCCCTGCTATGCTGTGCCATAGTTGACGTTTGAGTCGACTCAAAAAGTCAACTCGTTGCCTGTCGGTGCCCTGCTATGCTGTGCCATAGTTGACTTTTGAGTCGACTCAAAAAGTCAACTCGTTGCCTGTCGGTGCCCTGCTATGCTGTGCCATAGTTGACTTTTGAGTCGACTCAAAAAGTCAACTCGTTGCCTGTCGGTGCCCTGCTATGCTGTGCCATAGTTGACGTTTGAGTCGACTCAAAAAGTCAACTCGTTGCCTGTCGGTGCCCTGCTATGCTGTGCCATAGTTGACGTTTGAGTCGACTCAAAAAGTCAACTCGTTGCCTGTCGGTGCCCTGCTATGCTGTGCCATAGTTGACTTTTGAGTCGACTCAAAAAGTCAACTCGTTGCCTGTCGGTGCCCTGCTATGCTGTGCCATAGTTGACTTTTGAGTCGACTCAAAAAGTCAACTCGTTGCCTGTCGGTACCCTGCCATGCTGTGCTGTGCCAGGCCGTCCCATGCTGTGCCGTCCCATGCCGTGCTGCGTCATGACATCCCATGCCATGCCGCCCCGTGCCATGCCATGCCATGCCGCCGCGTGCCGTGCCCTGCTGCCCCGTGCCGTGCCATGCCGGGCATACGCATACCTACCTGTCATGTTGCTCTTCCATCTCTGGTTTCATAAGGTGGTGTGGGGTAGTGTTGAACGAAGAGTCGTGACTCATCAGAACCTGAAATAATGAACATGTATCCCTGCGTGTCATGCCATGTCATGCCGTGTCATGCCGTGCATACCTATCACATCGCACTTCCATCTCTTACCTTTCATAACGTGGTGTGGGGCATGTGGCACAGGCATAGTAGTAACGACTCACCAGAATTTGAAGTAATCTTGCATGTATCCTGCGTGCCTTGACTGGTGTTGAATGGCGTTGACTGGCATTGACTGCCGTTGATTGGCATTGACTGTCATTGACTGTCATTGATTGTCGTTGTTTGGCGATGGTGTTGACTGGCGTTGAATGGCAGGATCTATTGACAAAATGGAGATGAAATTCGCCATGGGGTAAGAGGCCAGTGCCATGACGTCAGCAATTGTGTGATGATGCCTAAAACCCCTATGATGACGTCAGAGCCTCCTATAAGATGCACCTCATATCATGTCCTCATTCATAGCCGTCCCCGCTAGTGTGATTGCGAGTTGTTTTACGGCCCCAATACCTTGCCCGGTCACTCGCATCGCACGCGTGTGACCTGCTTCTACACTCCCTTGTTGTGTGCTGTCATTGCTGTCTAATGCTGCACATGCACCCTGATAATCTGGGTTTTGAGAGATCTCAAAAACCCCAATTCAGCACATGCACCCTGGTAATCCGGGTATTGAGACACCTCAAACCTCCAATGCAACACATGCACCCAGATAATCAGAGCATCATTCCGTGCACTTCGTAGGTAGGTACTTGCCCTCCATAGGCACCTGAGCATCGCTCAATCCACACCGTGCCGTGCATCCCTCCCCCCATGGCTCTTCCCCACCCTCCTTTCCACCCCAACCCCCTCAGCGCTCCTCTCTCGATCCTTGCTCCCTGTGCTCCTGTGTGCTTTCCCAACCCACTTCACTCCCTCTCTGCTTTCCCAACCCGCTTCACTCCCTCTCTACTTTCCCAACCTGCTTCACTCCCTCTCTGCTTTCCCAACCTGCTTCACTCCCTCTCTGCTTTCCCAACCCGCTTCACTCCCTCTCTGCTTTCCCAACCCGCTTCACTCCCTCTCTGCTTTCCCAACCCGCTTCACTCCCTCTCGGCTTTCCCAACCCGCTTTGCTCCCTCTCGGCTTTCCCAACCAGCTTCGCTCCCTCTCTGCTTTCCCAACCCGCTTCACTCCCTCTCTGCTTTCCCAACCCGCTTCACTCCCTCTCGGCTTTCCCAACCCGCTTCTCCCTCTCTGCTTTCCCAACCCGCTTCGCTCCCTCTCTGCTTTCCCAACCCGCTTCGCTCCCTCTCGGCTTTCCCAACCCGCTTCGCTCCCTCTCTGCTTTCCCAACCAGCTTCACTCCCTCTCTGCTTTCCCAACCCGCTTCGCTCCCTCTCTGCTTTCCCAACCCGCTTCGCTCCCTCTCGGCTTTCCCAACCCGCTTCGCTCCCTCTCTGCTTTCCCAACCCGCTTCGCTCCCTCTCTGCTTTCCCAACCCGCTTCGCTCCCTCTGCTTTCCCAGCCCGCTTCACTCCCTCTCTGCTTTCCCAACCCGCTTTGCTCCCTCTCTGTTTTCCCAACCCGCTTCGCTCCCTCTCTGCTTTCCCAACCCGCTTCGCTCCCTCTCTGCTTTCCCAACCCGCTTCGCTCCCTCTCTGCTTTCCCAACCTGCTTCGCTCCCTCTCTGCTTTCCCAACCCGCTTCACTCCCTCTCTGCTTTCCCAACCCGCTTCACTCCCTCTCTGCTTTCCCAACCCGCTTCACTCCCTCTGTGCTTTCCCAGCCCGCTTCACTCCCTCTCTGCTTTCCCAACCCGCTTCGCTCCCTCTCTGCTTTCCCAACCCGCTTCGCTCCCTCTCTGCTTTCCCAACCCGCTTCACTCCCTCTCTGCTTTCCCAACCCGCTTCACTCCCTCTCTGCTTTCCCAACCCGCTTCACTCCCTCTCTGCTTTCCCAACCCGCTTCGCTCCCTCTCTGCTTTCCCAACCCGCTTCGCTCCCTCTCTGCTTTCCCAACCCGCTTCACTCCCTCTCTGCTTTCCCAACCCGCTTCACTCCCTCTGTGCTTTCCCAACCCGCTTCACTCCCTCTGTGCTTTCCCAACCCGCTTCACTCCCTCTCTGCTTTCCCAACCCGCTTCGCTCCCTCTCTGCTTTCCCAACCCGCTTCGCTCCCTCTCTGCTTTCCCAACCCGCTTCACTCCCTCTCTGCTTTCCCAACCCGCTTCGCTCCCTCTCTGCTTTCCCAACCCGCTTCCCTCCCTCTCTGCTTTCCCAACCCGCTTCCCTCCCTCTCTGCTTTCCCAACCCGCTTCCCTCCCTCTCTGCTTTCCCAAACCGCTTCACTCCCTCTGTGCTTTCCCAACCTGCTTCCCTCCCTCTCTGCTTTCCCAACCCGCTTCACTCCCTCTCTGCTTTCCCAACCCGCATCACTCCCTCTCTGCTTTCCCAACCCGCTTCGCTCCCTCTCTGCTTTCCCAACCCGCTTCGCTCCCTCTCTGCTTTCCCAACCCGCTTCACTCCCTCTCTGCTTTCCCAACCCGCATCACTCCCTCTCTGCTTTCCCAACCCGCTTCGCTCCCTCTCTGCTTTCCCAACCCGCAGCACTCCCTCTCTGCTTTCCCAACCCGCTTCGCTCCCTCTCTGCTTTCCCAACCCGCTTCCCTCCCTCTCTGCTTTCCCAACCCGCTTCGCTCCCTCTCTGCTTTCCCAACCCGCTTCACCCCCTCTCTGCTTTCCGCTTCGCTCCCTCTCTGCTTTCCCAACCCGCTTCCCTCCCTCTCTGCTTTCCCAACCCGCTTCCCTCCCTCTCTGCTTTTCCAAACCGCTTCACTCCCTCTGTGCTTTCCCAACCTGCTTCCCTCCCTCTCTGCTTTCCCAACCCGCTTCACTCCCTCTCTGCTTTCCCAACCCGCTTCGCTCCCTCTCTGCTTTCTCAACCCGCTTCACTCCCTCTCTGCTTTCCCAACCCGCTTCCCTCCCTCTCTGCTTTCCCAACCCGCTTCCCTCCCTCTCTGCTTTCCCAAACCGCTTCACTCCCTCTGTGCTTTCCCAACCCGCTTCACTCCCTCTCTGCTTTCCCAACCCGCTTCACTCCCTCTCTGCTTTCCCAACCCGCTTCGCTACCTCTCTGCTTTCCCAACCCGCTTCCCTCCCTCTCTGCTTTCCCAACCCGCTTCGCTCCCTCTCTGCTTTCCCAACCCGCTTCGCTCCCTCTCTGCTTTCCCAACCCGCTTCACTCCCTCTCTGCTTTCCCAACCCGCTTCACTCCCTCTCTGCTTTCCCAACCCGCTTCCCTCCCTCTCTGCTTTCCCAACCCGCTTCCCTCCCTCTCTGCTTTCCCAACCCGCTTCGCTCCCTCTCTGCTTTCCCAACCCGCTTCCCTCCCTCTCTGCTTTCCCAACCCGCTTCACTCCCTCTCTGCTTTCCCAACCCGCTTCGCTCCCTCTCTGCTTTCCCAACCCGCTTCACTCCCTCTCTGCTTTCCCAACCCGCATCACTCCCTCTCTGCTTTCCCAACCCGCTTCGCTCCCTCTCTGCTTTCCCAACCCGCTTCCCTCCCTCTCTGCTTTCCCAACCCGCTTCGCTCCCTCTCTGCTTTCCCAACCCGCTTCGCTCCCTCTCTGCTTTCCCAACCCGCTTCACTCCCTCTCTGCTTTCCCAACCCGCATCACTCCCTCTCTGCTTTCCCAACCCGCTTCGCTCCCTCTCTGCTTTCCCAACCCGCATCACTCCCTCTCTGCTTTCCCAACCCGCTTCGCTCCCTCTCTGCTTTCCTAACCCGCTTCCCTCCCTCTCTGCTTTCCCAACCCGCTTCGCTCCCTCTCTGCTTTCCCAACCCGCTTCAACCCCTCTCTGCTTTCCGCTTCGCTCCCTCTCTGCTTTCCCAACCCGCTTCCCTCCCTCTCTGCTTTCCCAACCCGCTTCCCTCCCTCTCTGCTTTCCCAAACCGCTTCACTCCCTCTGTGCTTTCCCAACCTGCTTCCCTCCCTCTCTGCTTTCCCAACCCGCTTCACTCCCTCTCTGCTTTCCCAACCCGCTTCGCTCCCTCTCTGCTTTCTCAACCCGCTTCTCTCCCTCTCTGCTTTCCCAGCCCGCTTCCCTCCCTCTCTGCTTTCCCAACCCGCTTCCCTCCCTCTCTGCTTTCCCAAACCGCTTCACTCCCTCTCTGCTTTCCCAACCCGCTTCACTCCCTCTCTGCTTTCCCAACCCGCTTCACTCCCTCTCTGCTTTCCCAACCCACTTCACTCCCTCTCTGCTTTCCCAACCCGCTTCACTCCCTCTGTGCTCCCTGTGCAGTCAGCTGGGCATCAACGTCAGTCAGGAGGTGAGGCAAGCAATACCTTTGTTTCTAAATACATGGTCAGTCAGGAGGTGAGGCACGGTCAGTCAGGAGGTGAGGCACGGTCAGTCAGGAGGTGAGGCACGGTCAGTCAGGAGGTGAGGCACGGTCAGTCAGGAGGTGAGGCACGGTCAGCACTCCAATGCACATAACCGCTGTTTTCTGGCACAAGGCAAGTGAAGCAGCTTATCTGCTCGACCACGTGATAATAAAAGTGTTTTGAGACGTCTCAAAGCACTCCAATGCATGTAACCGCTATTTTCTGGCACAAGGCGAAGCAGCTTGTCTGCTCGACCATTCAGTATATACCACCCTTTTGAGTTGACTCAGAAGTCATCGCACAAGTCTTTCAGTCTGTGCTCCGTCCCTCGTTTGTTCCACGCAATGTTCGCAATGTTCGCAATGTTCTCAATGTTCCCAATGTTATCTCACCCGTTTGTGCTCGTGTCTCAGAGAGCAGCAGCTTGCTCTTTCCGTCCACTGCGCTGCAAGCACACCCCCGTGCATGTGTTGTGTGTGATAGGCATGATAGACATGTGCGCATGAGCGTTACTTTCTGTGTCGCTCATCGGCATGGTTCCCCAGCCCGTGTCCTTCCCCCCAGCCCGTGTCCTTCCCCCCAGCCCGTGTCCTTCCCCCCAGCCCGTGTCCTTCCCCCCAGCCCGTGTCCTTCCCCCCAGCCCGTGTCCTTCCCCCCAGCCCGTGTCCTTCCCCCCAGCCCGTGTCCTTCCCCCCAGCCCGTGTCCTTCCCCCCAGCCCGTGTCCTTCCCCCCAGCCCGTGTCCTTCCCCCCAGCCCGTGTCCTTCCCCCCAGTCCCTTTCCTTCCCCCCAGCCCCTTTCCTTCCCCCCAGCCCCTTTCCTTCCCCCCAGCCCCTTTCCTTCCCCCCAGCCCCTTTCCTTCCCCCCAGCCCCTTTCCTTCCCCCCAGCCCCTTTCCTTCCCCCCAGCCCCTTTCCTTCCCGCCAGCCCCTTTCCTTCCCCCCAGCCCCTTTCCTTCCCCCCAGCCCCTTTCCTTCCCCCCAGCCCCTTTCATTGCAACCCGTTCCAGCCTCTTTCCTTTCCCCTCCAACCCCGAGCCTCTTTCCTTCCCCCTCCCCCAGCCCCTTCCCCTTCCCCTTCCCCCCCTTCCTTGCTTCCCCTCATGGGCCTTCTCCCGTCTCTCAGCAGTCTATGGGGGGATTTGACTCCCAAGGCTTGCTCATCTCTTTCTCCCTGTCTCCTCTTCCCTCCCCACGAGGCATTTCCCCAACCTCCCAACCTTCCCATTTTCCTGGTCTTTCCAGTCGCCACCTCCCCCTCTCCCACCCTCAGGAGTGTGAGGAGATCGTTGCAGCCATGCATGCATCCCTCGTCTCCCCTTCACTCCCCACATGCCACACCCCCTCCATCTTCCCCTCTCTCCTCACCCACAGGAGTTTGACGAGACCTTTGTCGTCATGGATCACTGCTCCCCTCCGTCCATTCCTTACCCACTTTCCCCACCACTCTCCACTCCTCCAACCTCCCTATTTTCACAAACACCTGCCTTTCCCCACTGCAGGAGTTAAAGGAGATCTTTGCAACAATGGACCGCAACGGCAATGTTTGAGGCACCTAATTAATCCTTCCCTCCCCATTTCCCTAAAACCTCCCCCTCCCCCCTGCTTCCCTCTCTCCTCACCCACAGGAGTGTGTGGAGATCCTTGCAACCATGGATCGCTGCTCCTCCTCCCCTCACCCCCACTTTCCCCACCACTCTCCACTCCTCCAACCACCCTAAACACCTTCTCTTCTCCTCTCTCTCCACACCCGCAGGAGTTTGAGGAAATCTTTGCAACAATGGATCGCAACGGCGATGGGTCGATAGATTTTGAGGAGTACGTTGCGGTGATGAGCGGTTACATGGGCGAGCAGAACATGCAGCAGGACCTCATCGCCATGTACCAGCTCTTCTCCGATAAGCGAACTGTGAGTGTGCTACAGTACAAACACTACAGCACACAGGTTTATGCATACAAATCTACCTACATACTAGATAATTTTTGTGTGTGTGTGTATATATATATATACATATATATATATGTGGGCGGGCAGAACACGCACCAGGACCTGATTGCTGTGTACCAGCTCTTCTCTGGTAAGCGAACTGTGAGCATGCTACAGTGCACACATGTGTTAATTAATTTATATTGGATAGTTGTATCTCGGATGGCTTCCTGAGTCCTCTCATAGTCTAATGTTGACTTCTGAGATGTCTCAAAAGTTAAATCAGCTCATAGTTCAATGTTGACGCGCTGAGATTGTTGTGCACTCACTCGCTCCTACGTACGTAGTATTCATATGCTAATTCCTGTGACAAGATGAGTGCTGACTGCTGTGTACTGACCGTGTCAATAATGTGAAACATGCCGGGAATTCTCAACATGCTGGGTATGTGTAACGCGCCGGGGAATGTGCCATGAATATGCAGGGCAAGATATTCCAGTCCATGCTGAAGAGAGGCATGTTGGACCTCGGGATTTGTGCTGGGAGTGTGCGGCCAAAAGTGGTATCTTACTTACACTGTGTGCTGTGAATGTTCCTGTGAATGCGCCCGTGAATGAGCAGGGCAAGATATCGCAGCGCACGCTGAAGAGGGGCGTGTTGGACCTTGGGATTGTCTTCTCCGATGACGAGATCAGGGGCATGTTCTACAGTGCTGACGTGGATGGTATGTTCTAGAATGCTGACGTGGATGGTATGTTCTACAGTGCTGACGTGGATGGTATGTTCTGGGTGCTGACGTGGATGGTATGCTCTACAGTGCGGACACTGATGGTATATTTACCAAAGTGCAATTACAGGCATGTGCTACAGTGCGGACATGGATGGTATGCTATGGACAGTATTACAGATGCTTTGATCCTCTTTGCAGACACGGATGGTACACATACAGATGGTGTGTTCTACAGTGTGGTTACAGATGGTATGTTGTGAACAGTGCAGCTGCAGATGGTTTGAGTATATATCCCTCAGTTCTATATAATTAACCTCACACCTCGTCTGCTGGATTTCTTTATTTTTATACAGCTTCCTATATCTTCCTATTCCAGACACATGCATATGCTTGCTCGCGCCACATGTGCTCACACCCATCCAACATGCTTGCACCCATCCACACATGCTTGCACCCATCCACACATGCTTGCACCCATCCACACATGCTTGCACCCATCCACACATGCTTGCACCCATCCACACATGCTTGCACACATCCACACGTGTTTGCACCCATCCAAACATGTCCACCTCCAATTTCTCCCTCTCCCCCCTTTCAGGCAATGGGGAGATTGACATAGATGAGTTTTCTCGCATTGCTGAGGTGGCAGGGATCTGCTGAGGTGGTGTGGAATCCATCTGAGCTGGCAGGCTCGTGCTGAACTGGCAGCGTGCACAGAGGACTAGTGTAACTGGTTTGATACCAGAAGACTGCTATTGAGTGCATTTTGTAGCCACGGCCTCTGATAGCTGCACAGCCATGTATGGTAAGCAGGATAAGCAGGTTGTTCTGATTTTCTTTTTAGCGAATCAGTGTTATATTATGGAGACAATGTAAATACAGTGTGGCAAGGCTTCTTTGTTTATGTGTGCAGCGCACCACTCTAGACTGCAAGGTAATGAAGCCTACAGGTCCTGTAACTTTCTTCCACGGAACTTGACTGCATTCACTTCACACCGTCCTCTATACTTGGCAATTTGTTAGAGGCTGCAAAACTTAGCTGCCTTGCTTGGATTACCAGATCGTGCCACGAGCATTTGTGCTTGCCAAAGGCTGTACCGAGTTTCTGTACAATGGTAGTTGAAAGTGTACACGTCTACCATGTTGCACTGCAAACAACGACTCATCATCAGCACTGATGCAGTATTGGAATCCATCAGCCATGCACACATTGATACCCCGCATCCACAGTTGACCAAGTCGTATCCAGCGCTAGCACCCCTATCCAATGCTTCTCAACGTTACTTCACATTTCAGACCAGGAAACAAGCACTCCACTCCAAACTTGAGAACTCACAAGTGCCCATTTTTTCTTGAAACAGCAGATTGCCACTCCTGGTAAGCTACTTTTGTCGATTTGCCAAATCCGAATCTCAGGACAGATGCCTCTGCAGCAGCGTGTGGTGCCGTGATCCTTGCAGTAACTTCCTCCTTGTGTGCTACTGATGTGGCACGGGCCTTGACTGGCACAGACATGGGAACCATTGCTGCCTGTCTTGAGCTAGAAGGCCTGGGAATGCGTGATGCACTGCTTGCAAGACGTCTTAGAGCATCTTCACCTGTAGGCGGTGTGACTGCCGCTCCACTGGCAAGTGTTGCCTTGGCTGCTGCTTGCACACTCCGGGTCCTTCCACGTGCTCCCTTGGTCGTGGACCCATCACAGCTGACGGCTGGCGACTTGTCAGCAGCAGGGATCTGCTTCATATGACTGTCGGGAGGAGTAGAAGATTCAACTGACTTCTCAGCAACAGCCAATGTCTTCCCTGGCTTCTTAACAGCATTGTCAGACTTGGCTGTTTCCAAGAGAGAATCATGCAGCTTCACTGGCTTCACAAAAGCATCAACTGCTGCTGTTGATTTCTTCGGCACGACACCAACAGACTTCACTGGCTGAGACGCAATCTTCCCCGATTTCTCGGCAGCATTGGATGGCTGCACTTGTTTCCCATCAGCAGCAGCTGGGTTCACAGGCCATTTGGCAGAATTATGTGACTGCAGAGACCTCTGAGCAACACTGAGTGGCCTCATGGAATTCTCAGTCACCGGCACCTTCAAACTCACATGAACCTCTGGGCGAGACTGATTCTTGCAAACAACAGCGGTTTGACCTTGAGATGGCTTATCAGCAACGGGAGTAGATAGCTTTATGTCTTGAGCGTCTGCTCTCCCCCTCATAGCGACCTTGCCTGAAACAACCTTTAAATTGCTGGTGCTCCGGTCGCTGCTGGCACTGCTCCTTGTCGGAGTGCTTTCACCCGTGGAGCTCACAGCCGATAGTACACTGCCGCCGCTGCTGCTACTGCTGCTGTCGTGGGTCTTATCCGTGCGAGCAGCAACTTCAAGGCGCTGCGCTTGGGGAACATAGGGCGGTGACGATGCTGGTGGAACATACAGCCATGTCTGATCCTCTTCTGAGTATTCTCGCCAAAACTCATGCTCCAAGAATGCCTCAGATTCGCGCAGAGAAACAAATGGCTTTGGAGGAGGCAGATGGTAAGGCACGTGGAGCCATGTTTTCTCTTCTTCAGAGAATGAAGCCTCGAAGTCAACCAGGCCATCCTCGTCATAAACATAGGCCCGCGCAGTCATGATAGCACCAGGATTCAAATCAGTAACCCCTTAAGTCCGGTTAATACGGCAGGAGAAGTTGATGAGTAGGAGGATCCGGTTCGCAAGTCTGAAAAAGAGGAACTAGGATTCGCCTTTTGCAGCCCATCTGCAGGAACTCCTTCGGTGAGCAGCAGGAAGGAATTCACCAGGAAGACGCGCGTACAATCTCAAGGAGGCCATCGTAACGGGAAACGCTTGATTTCGTTGTGCCTGGAACTGGCTTCGCTTTGCTGAGCGCGGTGAGCTCGAGGGGACCTCAAAGAGCGAAGAAACTTGGGTGTGCCTGGAGTGCATAATCGGCCTTGTCAAACACCCGGGTGTCCCTTCTTGGGGCAAGATCTATCCGTTCCGTTTACTTCCTTGGCGCGGGCGGACAAGTTCGCGCTATGCGAAAGCATTGTCGAGGGGAGCGACAAATGACGAGCATTTACAGACTGCCATAGGAGTTCGAAACCACCGTGCATCGCATGCATGATTGGAAAGGCAAGAATCTAGGGATTGGCAGCAAACGTGCTTCGCGGCTATCATGCTCGTGGATTGATTGCTACGAAATCGAAGGGTGGTTTGTGCCTGATGTCCTGAATTCCCTAGCTCGGAGGGAAATGCATTGGCCATGGTGCTACCTCCGAGCCATATGCTCAAGCGGAATGATCGAGGATGCACACCCGTTATGAAATAAGCTGTAATGCGTTAACCAAATGCCGACAGTTAAATACTACTTAATCTGCAAGTCACACATCATGTACGGTAGAACAAATGTGCACAAACATGTCCGGCAATATATACCTCACGATACTTTAAATACAAAATAATGCCCAGCCTGTTCGATTTTCTACAGCACTGCACCAACACCATCCTGGCTGCTAAAGCACACATATGCCATTGCCAACCAGCGCTGCAGCACCACAGCCCTCTCCTTCAATTTCTTCCTGTTTCCCAAGTTCCCTTTCGCATTCTCCGCCGCACCATCCTCTCCTGCAATAACTCGATGTCCTTTTGGGTCCATTTTCCTCCACCCCTCCCCTTTCTCCACTTGCTTCAGGCAGATTCCTGCTTCACCAAACACCCCTTCGCCTTCATCCGCATCTCCCTCCTCCTCCCCATCCCCTCTGCTCTGCACGTCCAGTGCAATGCACTGCATGGCTGTGCACACCAGAGCTGCACACCTCCATGGATTCGCCTGGTGGGACAAGGGATGGCTCGAGTCACACCCAAGCTCTGCAGCAGCACCGCTGCTCTCAGCAAGAGCAGCAGTAGCAGCACAAGCGTTGGGGGTGTCGACAGCAGCAGTGGAAGGAGCTCGTCGTTTTAAAAACATGCATGGAAGATTCGGGGATAGCAAGCGGGGGAGGATGGTTGGGGGTGTGCATGCGTGCAGCGTTTGATGAAACGCTGCTGGCGATTGGTGTCCAAGCGGAGAAATTGGGATCGAAATTGTGGATCGTGCTGTCGACGTTGATAGCGGTGTTGACGCTGCACAGGAAGAGGTGGACGATGCAGATAAGAATGAGAAGGTAGAGGTGGTGGTGGACGTGTGTGTGGGTGTGACCACGGGGGCAGTGGGTGTGAGAGGTTCGGAGCACGAGCTATTGGGCGAGCAGCTGTTTGGTGAGCAGCATTTGGGCGAGGTAGCGTTGGGTGAGGAGGGATTGGGAGACACATTGCCACTGCCACTGTCAGGAGAAAGATCGTTGCTTTCAGGAGAACTGATACTGCAGTCATCAATGCTCCCATATCCATAACCGCTTCCCAAGATACTCTTGCTGCCACTGCTGCTGGAGGCACCAAAGTAAGATGGGTCAAAAGCAGCAGCGGCAGCAGCAGCTCCAGTGGCAGCAGCACAGACTCCCAGCCCCATCTGCTCCACATGTGCCTGTGTTGTCACAGCATAGTCGCTATTAGCATTCTCCTTATCGCTATAGTCACCGTAGCCATTGTACCACTCGAGCACTGCTTCCCCTGCCGCCTCTCCCTCGCATGCCACCGCAGCAGCTCCGACATTCAACCCACATTCCTGAAGCACATTCTCTTCAATCCCACTCCTTTGATGCACGTTTCCTGAAGCCTTGTGTTGAAGTGCACGCTCCTGCGATCCACTCCTAACCGCAGCCGCAGCAGGAGAATCCTGGTTACCATCACAACCCCATCCTTTCCTCCTCCGCCTCCTACCTTCACCATTCCCCTTGCACCCGTCCCCATCTCCCTCTCCTCTCTCCCCTCCCTCACCTCCCCTTTGCGTCACCTTTCCGACAGTAGCACTTTCCCCATACGACGCCCCGTCACAGTCGCTGCTGCCGGACTCAGAAGAAACATCCAAACCTGCTCCCAGCAGTGCATCTACAGCACCGCCTGCTGCCAGCAGCATCTCAGCAGCACCTCCTCCTTCATCCCCCGACCCTTTTCCTCCTTTTCCCCCCACGCCGGCTCCATCTCTGCGCCACAGCAGCAGCAGCTGCAGGCGCTGCCGCTGCAGCTGCTGGTTCTGCTGCTGCAGCTGCTGCACCCGCTGCTGCAGCGCCCACACCTGCTGCTCCCTGCTATCCACATGCCTCGGCCTATGCACGTGCCACTGACTGCCCTGCGTGTGCTGCTGCTGCGTCTTAGCCAGAATTCCACGTTGCCGTGAGGACTGCGATTGCTGCTGCTGGAGCGCCTGATGCTGGGGCTGCACTTGCTGCTGCGGCTGCTGCTGGTGCTGCTGCTCCATGCTGCCTTCCTGAGGCTTCACCTGGGGTGTTGTCGTGCTCTGCTGCACCTCCTGCTGCACTGCTTGACTCTTCTCTTCCTCTCCCTCACCTTCCCTGCTCCTCTCCTCCAACCCCTTCTCCTCCCTCTCCTCAACCACTACTCTCACCTCCTCTTCCACCTTCTCCCCCTGCTCCTCCTTTCCCTCCTCCGTCCCCCCTCTCTTCCCTTCCCCACCCACACCCTCCTCTGCGTTTACTCTCTTCCCCTCCACGCCACTCACCCGTTTCACACCTGTCCGCACGCCCTTCTGCCCATTCCCCCTTTTTGCCGGTGTGGGGCTGTGCGGGTGTACCTCGGAAGCGCAGGCCTTTGCTGGCCGGCGCTTGGCTGGCTTGTGGACGACTGGAGGGGCATGCTTGGGCGCGGAGAGTGACAGTATCGAAGGGCGATAGTCCATGCGGATTCGCCGCGTCATGGCAGAATACCTGGGAGAGACGAAGAGAGGGATAATAAGGGAAAGAAAGGAATGGGCAATAGTGGATGGGTTGGGTTGGGTTGGGCTGAGAAGGGCGAGCGGGTGATACTCCATGCGGATTCGCCGCGTCAAGGCAGAAAACCTGCGAACAACAGGCTGAGGGATAACAGTGTGAGGGAAAGCAAGGTAGAGGCGATTCTGGATGACTTGAGTTTGGTTGGGTTGGGAGGGGCAAGTACGATTGCATGAGACTTCTTGCATTAGCAGGCAATAGTGGTTGAAGAAAGGCTGCCTCACCTGAGATTTGTGGCACCGCAAACCTCACCTGAGAGTAGGGGGCACCACAACACTCACCTGAGAGTGGTCTTGCTGACGTGGACGTCCTGAGGGTTGATACAAAACAGCACAGCACAGAAACCACCACTGCTTCCCCCGCTGCCACTGCTAGACCCGAAAAAGGGGGCACCTCAAACCTCGCCTGGGTGTGGGTGCACCAAAACACTCACCTGAGAGTGGTCTTGCTGACGTGGACGTCTTGAGGGTCGATACAGAACAGCACAGCACAGTAACCGCTGCCACTACCGGACCTGCCTCCCAGGCACGGTTGCAGCAGCCTCGTCAGCAGAGACCGGCGGTACGGCGGGAGGCCCGGCCGAGCCTGGCTGAGGTGCGTGAGGACGGAGGTGAGAGCGAGCAGGCTCTTGTTGATGCTCTCCGTCTCCCTCCTCCTCGCCTCCCTCTGCCCCACCCGCCTCGAACCCCCCACCTGCCGCTGCTGCCGCTGCTGCTGCTGCCTCTGCGCATTCTTCCCTTGCTGCTCCTTATACTGCTGCTGTGTCTGCTGGTACTGCTTCTGCCGGTGTGCCAGGGGCGGCACAAGCGGCCCCTTGGGAAGGCCGGTAATGAGGGGCACTACAGGGCTCTCTCCCCCCCACCATGGACCCTCCTGCTGCTGCTCCCTCCCTCCTGTTGTTCTTCCTCCTGCTCCTGCTCCTGCTCCTGCTCCTGCTCCTGTTCCTGTTTCTCCTGCTGCTGCTGCGGCTGCTGTTGCTGCATCTTCTCCCTTGCAGCTCTCGCTGCCTGCTAGGTCCACCAGGTACAGCATCCCTTCGCTATAAAGCCCTTCGTTATACTGCCCTTCATTCCCCTCGACAACGATCTCTTTTCCCTCTGCTCCACTCACCGGCAGCGTTCTTCTAATCCGAAAAACGTAGAGCATGTGGGAGCGGCTGCTCTGCTTGTTCCTGTTCGTGCCCCGCACCTTGCGCCTCTGCCCTGCCAGCTCAAACGCCACGGCTGCCTCTTCTACTGAGTGCAGCTGCTGCTCCGTTATAAGCTTCCTCCCTGCTGCGTGTAAGAGACTGCTGCCAGAAGTGCTCTTAGAGCTGTCACTGCGACTGCTCCCATTCTCCTTCACTTGCACAGAGCTGGGTTTTACTCCTTGCAGCAAGTCAACGGCTCTTTCATTGTAAATCTCCACCACCGATAGGAAACACAACAACGGTGGCGATTGATTTGCTGCTGGAGACCCCCCATCGCCTGAGAGCGTTGACGTGGTGTTCCCCACCGCTGCTGACGTGTCTGGTGCTGGCTGACGCTGCACCACTGACGTGGACTGTTCCAGTGTTCCCACGGTTTCACGCTCTGATGCATTGACGTCAGCACTCTGAAACCTGGCACGAAGATGAGACACGTCATCACTCTGTGCTGCTCGGAAGACATCTGCCATGGCATGGTGAAAGACCCCCGCTTCCACGTCGCTTCCGCTGATGGTATGTGTCTTGCCTGTGCCTGTCTGCCCGTACAACAGAACCACCGCTCTGCACCCCGCCACAGCCCGCTCCACCGCTCCCTTGCAAAACTCGGTGTATACCTGCTAGACAGGCAGCAAGGAGATGGCAGGTTCAGGTTCAGGGCAGTCAGATAATCAAGCTGAGAAGATGGGTAACCAGGACTTATAACCTGCATTGGTAACCAGGAGGACGGTGACCAGGACTGGTAACCAGGAATGATGACTAGGACTGAGAACCAGAACTGGTTACCAGGACTGATTGTCAAGACTGGTAAAAACCAGGAACGGTAACCAGAACTGGCAACCAGGACTAGTAACGGGGAACGCTAACCAGGACAGGAAACCACAACAAGCAGGTCCTATGAAAAGGGACGGGGATAGGAGCCTCGTATCCATAGTTAAGGTGGACTCATTCATAAAGTGGAATCAGAACTGAAAGCGAAATATATGTTAAGCAACGAGTAACAAGTATTTCTGGCTTGTGCATCGAAGGGAAAGAGCGCACCTCGAAATTGGACGAATCATAGCCGAACACGTGGTTGAACTCGAAGGTCAGGGCCTTAGCAGGAAGGGGAGCAGTCGGCTGAAGTGTGTGTGAAACGCGTGAGGGATGCGACGAGTGAGGCGCGGAATTGGAGGAGGAGGAGGAGGTGGTGGAGCCTGGAGTGGGCTGCGGCGACGGACACGGCGTTAACGCGTTGGGATTGCGTGCTGCGACGACGGTCTGATGAGGGAAACGAAATAAGAAACCTAAGGGGAAAGGTTAAGTAATGAGGAAGAATTTACGCCAGGAAAGAAACTTATTGCCGTGACAAATAAGGTCAGAAAGGCGTCAATCGTCGCGATTGCGACGGTTTGACGAGGGAAGAACAAGGTACACGAGCAGTAGGGATGATGTTGGCTAGGAAGGAAACTCTTAGCGCGCGATGCGCTCTATGGAGAAACGGAGAATAGCAGGAGCACAGGAGCGGTATCGACGAACAGAACCTCCGGAGACGAGACTTTTGAGTTGTTTCAAACGCCAGACCGACCAACAAACGTACATTGGCAGTTACAGCCCAGGCGAGCGGTCCTGCTCGCGATGGCGGTCGCAGGCGACATGCGACCTTCACTCGCTCGCTGAATCCTTGGTCAGATGCTGAAATGGTTCTAGGAACCGCCGTCTCCTGCTCGTTTTCTCCTTCTGAAACGCCTAAGACCGTCGCCATGACTAGGACGGCTCGATCCTACTTCAGAGACGTAACAGTCGAGCAGTCTTCGCAATCTGCTGTACCGTCTCGCGGCGAAAAGCGTAAAGCGTTCTTCCATGATGACTGATTTGAACGACGCGAAGAGAGGTCCGCGAATTCCGCGCGCTCGGACAGATTCCGATGTCTGCGGTAGTGTTCTGCCTTGGCGGCTGATGGATTTGCAAGCTAGGTCATAAAAATCCCAAGGGTTCAACGTGCGGTACAAAACGGTTGTGTCAGATATTATAATGGTTGGAGCAAAATGAGCTGGTGTCGCACGACCTGACTCACGACTCCAACCGATGAGGACTCCGCCCCGCATACGTCGTGTCGGATCGCATGAAGTCGCAACGCAACTCTCGAGTCAAGCTAGACTCCAGAATTCCCAGCCGAGCCTGTCACTGGCTGACCCGCAAGTCACGAGGGTGTGGTTTGGGGTGCTTCGGTTAAAGGTGCACCTCTACGGTGCAGAGCACATGCTTCATCTATTCACCAAGAATATTTAATTGTGATATTGATGTGAGCCCCAATTCTTTGTTGATCAGATCTTCATTGCAGTCCCTTCTTAATCCTCATCTCTCACTGCAATTACGTGCTATTTATAAAATATTTCAAAGTTATTGTGTGTGTGAATTTGTGAAAGTTCTTTTCTTAGCAACTTATCAAGATGTGTAATACTAGTACATACATCAATCATCTTTTTCTAGCATCTAGGGAGAAAGAAACCTTAGCCCCCCCTACACCAGCTTTCCCATCTTGTAGCTCCGCTCCCCCTTGCTCCTTCTTTACTCTTGCTGCAGCTTCCCCTCCCTTCCCCCCTCCTCCCCTTCCCCCTGCCTTCCCTCCTGTGTCTCCGTCACGCTGCCTCTTGTGCGATCCTGGAGTATCAATAGATAACAGGCAACGGGGAAGGTCCAACTCACGTGTTCACGACATGAGCCCAACAGTTGGTGAGTGCACGTGCTACAGACACTAGGCAAAAAACTGGATTAAATGACTACAAAGACTGCCACCAATCCCCTACACCTGACACAAGCGCAAACAGGGCATGGCACGTACCAAGAGCAGCAGCTGGGGGCAGAGAGAGAGAGAGAGAGAGAGAGAGAGAGAGATCTGTCTGCATGCTGCTTGACTTCATGGGTGCCTACAAACACTAGCTTGAACAACGGACGGCTACCACGTAAAGCGTACCATGAGGTTGACAGGGCATGGCACCCACTACATACCGCGAGCAGCAGGGCCGGGCAGAGGGACAGCGATCTGCACGTTGGGCTGCAGCAGGCACTCCTCACGGGGGAGTGCATAGACTAGCTGACGTGATAGACACCTACCACCACATACCACCGCAAACCACCACATACCACCACCTACTACCACCGACCACCCGACACAAGGGTGGACATGGCACCTATCACGTACCACGAGCCGCAGGGCCGGGCAGAGGAACGGCGATCTGCACGTTGGGCTGCAGCAGGCACTCGGCCTCGGGTGGCAGTGCAAAGAGCCCAGAACCGGCTATGGGCGGGATGGGCACGGCATTGCGTGCTCGAGCGAGCTCCATGAGCACCTGAGAGGGACGAAACGCGATGGGTAAGGCGAGGAACAAAGTGAGCGAGAGCAGATAAAGGGCAAGACGCTTTAGCATGGCGTGAACGGGCCAGTTCCTTGAGAACTTGAGAGGGGAGAAGTATGGATGGAAGAGAGGAGCGAACAAGGTGAAGACACTTGCAGTACAAGGCAACTCACTCAGGTGCATTGGCATGGCACTGCGTGCATATGCCAGCTCCATGAACACATAGTGGCAGAGGTGAAATATCACATGGGTGAAAGGCGAGGCAAGGTGCACAACAAGAAAGATGCTTTCTATCTCTCTGAGGGCCAGCTGTGAGAAGGAGGAGGAGGAGACGTTGGCCTGCACGGCCAGGCGCACATCGTCCACCTCAGAGGGTGTTTTGAATTGACTCAGCTGCCCAACCCCCATTCTCTCCTTAAATGCGGGCCTTGGGCCTTTTCCCAGTCACAACCTTGGCCCCTTTACTCCCCCAAACCTTGGGGCCATGTAGCCGTTCCCACTCACTGCTGTGCCCGCGTCTCTCGCTCCTTGCATCTCTCACGTGCATGCTGCTCTGCTCTTTGTTCCTGCCTCTCTGGGCGGTGGCTGGGAGAGGAGAAAGAGGTGGAGGAGACCTTGACCTGTACAGTCAGGCGCACATCGTCCACCTCCAAGGCCGCGTGCCCTGCATGCTCAGCGTACACCCAGTGTTTGAGCCTTGAGTTGGACACAACCTACGACCGTTTTCCCCTCACGGCCGTTTGATTGAGCTTCCGTACACACCGCTGTGCCCCTTGCTTTTAGCTCATCCGTGTGTGCTTTGCTGCTTACCTCTCTGGGCGGCGGCTGGGAGAATGAAGTGGAGACCTTGGCCTGCACGGTTAGGTGCACATCGTCCACCTCCAGCGCCGACCGCACCATATGTTCCCTTGAATCTACACCCTCCCCCCATTTCCATCGTGTACACTGTAACACTGCTGCTTACCTCTCTGGGCGGCGGCTGGGAGAAGGAAGTGGACACTTTGGCCTGCACAGCCAGCCGCACAACGTCCACCTCCAGAGCCGCGTGCCCCGCATTGGCACCTTGAATCTACCCCACTTCCCCGCCTCCCTCCCTCTCCCCCCTCCCCCACCCCACCTTGCATGCTGTCACCTACCTCTCTTGGCGGCGGCTGGGAGAATGAAGTAGAGACCTTGGCCTGCACGGCCAGGCGCACATCATCCACCTCCAGGGCCGCATGCCCCGCATGCTCCGCGTACACACGAGCCTCGCCCAGCACGTCCGTCATGTATCGATAGGCGAACTCTAGGAGCTGGTTATCAGGGAAGGAGCGGGATATGGTGTAGCCAAGGAAAGGAATAAACGACTTGGGAAGCGGAACGAAGCTGCATGCTCCGCGTACATGTGGGCCTAGCTCAGCACGTCCGCCATGTAGCGGTAGGCGAACTCCAGGAGCTGGTTTGGGTGGCAATAGGATGGGATGGGGTAGAGGAAACGGAGTGGGAACACGCGTACACGCGGTAGGCAAACCCCAGATGGTGGTGGTGGGTGGGAGGGAGGGAGGGAGCGGGATTGGTAAGGGTGTGGGGAAGGGATATATAGGGGAACGAGTCTGCAGGCTCTGAGTACACGCGGGCCTCGCCCAGCACGACCGTCATGTTGCGGTAGGCGAACTCCAGAAGCGGAACGTGGAATGGGGTACCAGGAATGGGAACAGGGAAGATATGTTGAAAGGGAAAACGAAACGCGAAACTGAAGGGTGGTGAGAGCGAGGTGGACTCGCATCTTCAATCTCAGTCTAGAAAACATCATCCTTTAGATGCACACAAGCCAGATTCTGCTGCTAGTTGAACAGATAATCTCGCAACCCTGTTTTGAAATGAAGTTCTCGTAAGCATGTCCGACAACTCAACAAAGCATGCTATAACGTTCGCGTCGGAAATCGGCCTTCCTAAATCTGTCACTACAGTCACACGTGCCTGGTGGACGACACGTGGCTCGTAATCTTCCACACCCATCGACTTCAAAATGCTTGCGACCACTTTCGCGTCGCGCGGAACAGGCTCGAAGTTCTTATCCGCCATGTGTGCTGACCAAAGACCTCCTTATAGTCGAAAAGGGGATTTGTAATTGACGACACTAGAACGCGCTGCGAACCAGCAATGAGGAGGCGCTGGAACCGCGGTGTAGCACTTGTAACTTGCGGAAACGACCTGCGCTCGAACAACAGCTGCCTACGACCTAATATGTAATGCGGAATTAGCGTTACACACGCTATCGCCAAACCGCTAGACAGCACGAGATATTTGTCAAGTCACTTTTTCGACATTCGCTTTCGTCACTCTGGAGGTGAACCTCTTGGCACGACGACAGCATATGGAGGCGGCTAGTACGTACAAGGCCTTCATCAATTTCCGGTGCTAGTATAGATGCTAGTTCGTAGAAGCACAAGTTACTGCGATTGCGATTGTACAAACGAACTGTTGACAGGGTGCAAACGAACTCTTGCGATTCTGTCAGCCTCAGCATGAATGCGTCGAAATCGAGTGCGAAATGAATTTGAGTGATATTTGTTAGTGATGATTCGCTCCCGTGCTCGTTGTTTCGATGGATTTGTTACACCTGGTAACCGGACTAGCATGTAGTTCCATGAAAAAATTTGGATGGGTCGCCGTCAGTCTAGTGTCCCCACCCCGTTCAAATACAGCGATCTGTCCCTGAACTGGCATTCTTGCATTTCCACATAAGGTCCAGCCATGACTGGCTTTACCGTTCTCCTGCTTTTCCAGCTTCTATGGCTCGGAGGTAAGGTTTGGTAGTAGTTCTTTTGTCCGACGATAACTATAGACGTAAGGTCTCTGACGTTTCCTGTCTTTTGCAGCTGTTGCTGGTCAGCGAACAGTATGTCCAGCAAACTTCAACAGCGTCATGAGGAACGATGTGTCTTCTTGTAAAGGCTTGGTTAAGAACCCCGAATCCTGCTGTCAGTCGCTTCGAAAGATGGAAACTAACATTCTCTCTGCAAGCTACAATAACGGATCTGCCGACGCTTTGAAAATTGTCGGGAGTCCGTCATACAATAATGCTTGTCGTAACACCTTCCGCACGGTTTTACAGAAGAAAGGGGTAACGGTGGATGTCTTTGGCCTCTGTAGCGGTTATTGGCTGTTCCCTCTTGCAGAAAAGAACATCACCCAAAGCACTTGTCCTTTAACAAGCTACGAAGATGTCGGTTCTGTTGTTAGCTACCGATCATTGTCAGCTTCATGCAATAACGCGAAGTGCTCCAATCCTTCGACTCAAGCATCGACCTCCGCCTGTGGCCAAAGTATTCTCGATGCGGCCATTATGCTGACAGAAAACGATTCTCAGATCAGCGACTGGTAAGTTTCTGTTATTGAATATCAACGCATTTCGCATACCCTTGAATCATGACATTCCATTGCAGTTACTACGTCGTCACAATGAGACTCGCGCAAGCGCACTTCAAGAGCGTCTACAAATCCGTGTTCTTCTTGTGCGACGCTGTGCCTCCACTCGCTAATGTAAGAATTGCTCGTTTGAAGTCTTTCATTCAGATTCTAACTTGAAATACGCAGGCTTCCATTAATTTAACCGCTATATCATCACCGCCTCCGGTGGCTGCACCACCTGTCCAAGGACCAGATGCATCAGCTCCATCGCCTTCGTCAAACCCGTCGTCCCCTGGACCAGCACCTGCCCCTTCATTGGTAGCACCTTCTTCCAAACCTGCTCTGGCACCTTCGGCAAAAGCAAACTCAACAAGGCATGCACCATCTTCCGCGCCAAGTCCAGCACCAGCAGGCTCTACTAGCCCAGCTTCAGCTCCAAGTCCAGCACCATCAAGCTCTATTAGCCCAGCTTCAGCACCATCTCCATCACCTACCAATAAGACGATTGGTGTACCTGGATCGCTCAACGAACCCCAAGAACCTTCAGGTAACGTCCTGCTGTCATTATGTCAATCGTATTTCCATTGCTCAACCTGTGTTTTACAGGTTCAAACACAGGTTCCGTGGCTAAAACAAAGGGTGCATCTTCAGGAACCGGTTCAGCGTTTTCAGGATTTATTGTTGTGCTGGTTATGTTATGCCTATGGTAAAAGGGGAGAAAGAAGTGGGGAACTGTAGACTGTAAAGCTGTGGAGAAGCTTGGTACGCACATGCAATGGTGAAATTATTTGTAGGGAGGTATGGCATTATGGCAGGGAATAAGTGCTACCAAGCAATGCGTTGATGCTTCTTTATGAGTAAACTCCAATTGTATGAAGTATTGTAATGAATTTTGTATGTGACACATAATGCACTGCGGAAGTCACAAAACTTCAGCAAACCGTTTCTAAAAGCGAACCAGCACTGTAATGAGAGCAGGTCCTACGAAAGCCGCCAGACAATCCACAAGAACGCGAGTCTGTATTCCACGTCCGTTTCGTGTACATCCACGCCACCCGAATCCTTCGCTTTCTCTTCTGCGGTTCGATCTAGCATTTTTCGTCGTTCTGTGAAATACTCCGTCATCGATTATGGACGCGGATCAGAAGCGAGCGAGCTTTGAGCTGCAGCAGTTTCTGGAGCAGGAGAAGCAGAAGGCGATGCTGAATGAGCTGGTGGCGAAGCTCACGGAGGTGTGCTGGGACAAGTGCGTTACGGCCGCGCCGGGAACCAAGTTTAGCGGATCGGAGTCTTCCTGCCTAAGTAACTGCGCGCAGCGGTATCTTGATGTCAGCGGACTGGTCGTGCGGAAATTCCAGGGCATGCAAAGATGACGGCTGTGGGATCGGGGGTTAGGGAGATATCAGGATTTTGGGACGTAGGGCGTCTCAGATGTAGCGTATCTGTCACCAGAAACGTGGGCGTTAGATTGATGGCTGATCAATAGGTTGTATTTGGCTTTAAAATGTGGAATTAGAGAGTGATGATTGAGTTTGCTCCGTTCGCTCTCTCTCCATCGCGTCCTTCACCGCCCGCCAGGTCCTCACCGCTCTTTACCCTACCCGTTTTCTGAACCCGCACCTTTCCCCCGCCTTCTCCCCTTTATTCTCTCTCTTTTCCCTCATTCCACCCTCCCTTTCCCCACCGTCTCTCCCTCCCTCCTCTCCCCCTCACTGTCTTCCTATTCTCCCTCCACCTTTCCCCACCTCCCGTACTTGATATCGTCTGGCTCCGGATATAAGCGCATATGCGCTTACAATAAAATCAGTTTTTTTAGGGGTGGCGCTTGTAATCGAGTAACGGCCATAAGCGCCGGCGCCTATACGATGTCAAAAATGAATTTTGCTTTTAAAGGTACGAAATTGAAGCCCTCAATATGGCGAACAAGGCCATGTGATGTGCGCATGGGATCGTGCATGAAATTCCACCGAAAAACAGCCGCGACTCGATTTCCCACCGCACAAACCCTGTCCCGGAGGAACGCACCTGGCAGCGATGACGTGCGTTCTGCCGTGCGGCCCAATAGCAATGTCATGCGCTGCCAGGGTGGAACATTTCACCCGAACCTTCGAGAAGGGGGTGGAATCTCCCTGCCAGCGCAGCAGATTCGTGCCGCGATTCCCTCCTCTGCGGGTTTAAGCAGGGGGGTACTGTCAAAATGAGGAATGATGATGCCATTGATGTTGGTTGGGGTACATATGACAAACCCTAACTTCTGTACCCCCTAAGACAAACCTCACTACAGGCTACAACATTTGACACACCCCCATAGCCTAAGTGAGGGGTGTCTAGCAAAATAAAAAGAGTACGGTCACAAGACCAGTCCAAAAGAAAACAAAGCTCAGGGTGGATCACAACGTCACCACACTCTCTGAGCACAAGCAACGGTGGCCACAAGGCCAGTCCAAGAGATCACAAGTATATATAGCAAGAGTACAGACGAAGCAGGCAATAAACTCAAGCCTACACATGACTAGAACCTGTGTCAACAAGGCCTAACTGCACACAACACCTCTGGTGGTCACGAGGCGGAAGCGCCTTGGTGAAGATGTCTGCAGTGTTGGCCTCGGACTCCACAAACTCGAAGCGAGCCTGTCCACGTCTCTGCAACTCTCGCAGAAGAAAGTACCTGACGTGAATGTGCTTCACTCTGCTCTCCAGTCGCGGCTCACGACAGAGGAGGATCGACGCCTTGTTGTCAGTGAACAAGGTCGGTGCAGAGCTCGGCCGCTCACCAAGGTCGGCGAGCAAGAAGGTCAACCAACGCAACTCCTGTGCCGCCATGGCACCAGCGTAAATCTCAGCCTCAGCTGTAGAGGTCGAGACAGAAGAGGAGCGCGTGGAACGCCAGGAAACAGCTCCAGAACCCAGACTGAAACAGTACCCCTGAGTAGACCTGTGAGTCTCAGCGTCGTCAGCGTAAGAGGAGTCACAGTGACCAGTGAGTACGACAGACTGCTGCCCTCCAAGAACTAGCCCCACGCCTGATGTAGTCGCTAGGTACTTCGCCACCCTCACAGCTGCCGTCCAGTGAACAGGACGGTGTCTCCCTGGCGCAACAAAGCGCGCAAGGATGCTGAGAGGGAAGGCGAGGTCCGGGCGAGTACAAGTCATCAGGTACATGAGGCAACCCACAAGCTCTGCGTAGGGACCACTAGGCTCAAACGGCTCGTCAGGAAAGGGACCAGTGAGTCTGTGGTCAACAGCGAGAGGTGTGCGCTGTACGGTGGAGTGCTGAAGCCCGAACCGTTGAAGGACCTGCTGCACCATGTGTGACTGTGAGAGTGTAATGGTGCGAGCGGCTCTGTCCCTGGTGATCTGCAGGCCAAGGTAGTGGCGCAGCTCACCAAGATCAGTGCACGTGTGTCTCTTCTGCAGTTCGGACTTCACGTCTGCCAAAGCAACCCTGTCCGGAGTGGCGAAAACGAGGTCGTCGACGTAAACCAGAACAAAGAACGGTGTGGAGCCACGACGAACGAACAGCGACGGGTCGGCAGAAGACGGCTGGAACCCAAGGTCAGACAGGGTAGAACGCAGAGTGTCGTGCCACTCACGAGGGGCCTGGCGAAGACCGTAAACAGGTCGCCTCAGCCTCCACTGGGTCCCAGGAGGGAAGGTGCCAGTGAAGGCCGAGGGACGACGCAACCAGACCTCCTCGTGTAGGCTGCCCTGAAGGAAAGCAGTGGAGAAGTCGAGAGAGTGTAACTCGTAGTCTCTCTGTGCTGCTACGTGTAGTAACACCCGAAGAGTGGTCATCTTCGGGGTAGGTGCGAAGGTCTGAAAGAAGTCAACTCCCTCGCGCTGACTGAAACCTCTAGCCACGTAGCGCGCCTTGAAGACCGGGGGAGATCCCGGTGGCCGCTTCACCCTGTAGATCCACATGCCGTCGACTACGTTCGCCCCAGGGGGGGGAACCTCATCGACGTAGGTGCCTGTGGATCTGTAGGAGGCCATCTCTGCGTCCATGGCAGCTCTCCACTGAGAGGCCCAAGGCCCTGACACTGCCTCAGCGTAAGTGCGAGGAGTCGGAATGTCAAGGGCGTCGGGGTCACCCTCAGGGGCGAGGAGCATGGCACAGAGATGAGGGGAAGCGGCCGCCAGAAACTCTAGCTCAAACTGCCTGTCCTCTAGGGCGTCACAGCCAAGGGCAGACACACCCCCGATGGCCAGAGGACTGGTAGGAGGAGCAGCCACAAGCGTGGTGGCGTAGTCAAGGCGGCGGGTAGAGGCAAAGTCAGTAACTGCGGCAGTAAGAGCGGACACAGAGGACACAGAGGCACGAGGGTGAGTAACAAGAGAGGCGAGAACACGAGAGAGAACAGGACGGTACGTGCGGTAGTAGTCAGTGACAGGAGTAGGGAGCGACACAGTGAGGGCCGACTCAGGAGGAGACGGAAGCACAGACTGAGACGGACGAGGTGGACTAGAAAGAAGGAAGGCAGTACGAAGGTCAGTGAAGGGAACAGGAGACGAGGGACGAGCACGAGGGGAGCGACGAGTAGCCCAAGAACGAGACGGAGGAGGAGAGGACAAAGGCGGAGAACTGGGGAAAACAGCGGGGGAGGAGTCAGGAGGAGGAAACGTGGGACCGTAGACAGGAGGAGAGGCGGAGGAGGGAGGAGAAGGGGAGGGGAGACCAAGGGTCCGAAGACCCGAGACAGGAGGAGGAAGTGGCTGCTGCTGCTGCTGCTGCTGCTGCGACTGCTGCTGCTGCGGAAGCGGCTGCTGCTGGGACTGCTGCTCCTGCGGGTCCAGCGGCTGCTGCTGCTGCTGCTGCTGCTGCTCCTGCGGCTCCAGCTGCTGCTGCTGCTCCTCCAGCCGCTGTAACTCCCTCTCCTCTCTCTCCAACGCCAGCTGCTCGTCACGGGTACGGCGAACACGAGCCTGGTGCCTAGTCGGGTAGGGGTGGGGGGGCGGAGTAGTGTCCGAAGCAGCAGTAGCTCCAGAGTCCACCCCCGAAGAACCAGGCGCACCACCCCCAGAGGCAGCACTAACACCAGCTCCAGACCCAGGCTCACCAGAACCCGAAGGAGGCGCACTCTCACCCCCAGTGTCCGCGCGACCAGCACCAGCTCCCGGACGACAAGAGTCCTCTGCACCCACCGGGTCAGCTCCAACTACAGCTCCAACCCCAGCACCCCCAGAACCAGAAACTCCAGTGCCAACTCCAGCTCCAACTCCAGCTCCAACTCCAGCTCCAACTCCACCACCCCCAGAACCAGAAACCGGTACAGGAACAGGCGCAGCACCAACCTCTCGAGAGCTAGCACCTGCGGCACGCTGCGAGGAGGACTGTGGGGAGGGAGGCTGTACCGGAGAGGCTACCGAAGGAGGAGGGGTAGCCTGGGACACACCCGACGGGGCTGCACCAGGGGGGGGAGGCTGTACCGGGGGAACAGGAGGGGGAGCGGCAGTCAGGAAGAGGGGGGGAGGAGGAACCTGGAGACCTCGACTGGGGTACCTGACGTAGTACGGAGTGGACTCCTCGAAACGGACGTCACGGGAGTCAAAGAACCGGTGAGAGGGAGGGTGGTAAAAGGTGAAGTCAGAGGAGTCCTCAGGGAAACCAAGGAAGACACAGGGGACGGCACGAGGCGAGAGCTTGTCCGCGGAGGTGTCGCGGACAAGAGCCAAGCACCCGCAGACACGAAACCGCGACACAACACCAGGGGACCCTGTCCAAAGACTGGTCGGTGAAACCTCTGGTCGAGAGACACGTGGCCAGAGGTTCAACTAGTGCGCGGCGTACCTGACCGCGTAGGGCCACAGAAAATGGGGGGCACAGGCGTGAGTCAGGGAGGTGCGGGCGATCTCCATGACCAGGCCTATGCGGCGCTCAGCAACCCCATTCTGCTGTGGGGACTCTGGAAGCGTCCAGGACTGACGAATGCCCTGCTCGCGACAGAATCCAGCGAGAATGCCGGAGCGAAACTCACCCCCACGGTCGGAGTGGAGGCAGCTGACACGACGACCACGAGTGTCCTCGGTGGTGAGCAACCACCTGATCAGCGTAGAAGTCACCTCAGACTTCTTCGCCAGAGGGAACACTGTGGTGTAGCGGGAGAAGTCGTCAACGACCACCAGAAAGTAGCGCTCACGCTCAGGGCCTAGACGAGGGGCGGGGCCCCAGACGTCCAAGTGAAGCGTCTCAAAAGGCTCGGTGGCCGGACGAAGAGAGGAGGAGTGAGGGGCGGCGCGCAGCCGACCCTCGACGCAGGGACCACACGGCGGCGCAAGCGAAGGCGGCAGCGACGGCAAGACACGTGGGAGGCCTAGGACAAGACGCTGACTAGACATAGCGCGCAGACGAGGAAGGGACGGGTGCCCCATCCGGTGGTGCCACAGAACGGTGGGGTGGGCAAGCGACCGGCAGGAGCACGACGCAGCGACTGGAGCAGACGTAGGAACCTGACACGACACAGACACCTGGGGGGACGAAGCAACCTGGTGAGACGCGGGGACCCGGACAGGGGGGGGAACCGGGGGCAGTGGCAGTAGGGGCGGCTGCTGGTGCGACCGCTGGTGCAGCTGCTGCTGCTGCTGCTGCTGCGGCTGCGGCTGCTGCTGCTGCTGCGGCTGCTGCTGCGGCGCACGCGGGCCAGTGTGAAGAGTATAGAGACCTGAGCCCGGCTCAGCAGTAAAGGTAGCAAGAGGCTGGTAAGAGTCTCCGTCAACACACACCGCAGTCTCTCCAGAAGGCTCAAACCACACACCCACGT